CATTACGAGAATGGCTCTGTTCAATTATGTAACTGGTCAACCCAACCCTTCCTAATTTTGCCAGTGAATTTTCAGGTATTGAACTAATTCCTCACATGGATAATTTTACATTTATCCACAATGAGACTTCAGGGATATGAAATTTAGGTTATGATTTAAGATCAAGATGTGATATCTATTGCCAGATTTATTTAGAAAAGTAGGAAGATTCTTTGATTGTGGTGAAAAAATATGTTCTGGTAAGAATTTTTTCTTTAATCTGGACACTAAATCCCTTTTGGATATATAGAGTCTGGAAATGCTTTCAGATATATGTGGACATTAAGCCCTTAACAAATATATGGCTTGCAATTATTTTTCCCTTTCTGTGAATTATATTTTCACTTTCTCGTTATAGTGTCTTTTGTTGTCTAGAAGTTTGATTTTGTTTTATTTTTCCTTTTGTAAGCTGGGCTTTTCATATAACATCGAGAAACTATTATCAAGTCCAAGGTCATGAAGATTTGCTGTCTTTCTTCCTAAGCATTTATAGATTTAGCTCTTACATTTAGTATTTTTATTCATCTTGAATTATTTTTCAGGGCCAGTGAGATAGCTTAATGGACAAAGTGCCTGCTTTGGCAAGCACAGGAACCAGGGTTCGATCCCTGGTCCCGCATGCCATGCTGACCCCACCCCCGGGACGTGCTGAGTCCTTGACAAAGTCCAGACTTGGTGGCTCATGCTTATAATCACAGCCAGGGCAGGGGAGACTGAAAATGAGGATCACTATGGGTCCAATCTGTGTAGCGAGACCCTCTGCCAAATACACAAATGAAAAAGAAAATTATTTTTCATTCCACAGTATGAAATTTTCTTTTTTTGGGGGGGTGGGGCTGGAGATTGAACTCAGGCCCTTGTGCTTGCCAGGAAAGCACTTATTCTACTGAGCTATCTCCCCAGCCCCTGAAATTCTTTTTAAAATTTGCTGATGCTATTTTCCTTAAAGCTGTTAAGAATTATTTCAATCTTTATGATCCTTTCTTAATTAAAAGATGCTGATACATTTAATTTTATTGTAAATTTGGTTTGAAAAAGAGATGTAATCTAATAGTTATAATGGATAAAAGTACATGTTGTAGGCTTTCTTCAAGTAAAAATTATGGCTTTTTAAAATAGTTATTGTCACAGAATTCATTTAAAAATTAAGATTACAAAACCTTGAGGAAAATGCATGTTTAGTTTAATATATGATGTCAAGTATAAACACTTTAAAAATATATACTTATAAGGAATTAGACACCAGAAGTAGGAATAGGTCTGCTTTTGTTTTATGAAGAATGTTGGGAAATTATACATTAAGTTGTGAAAAAGTAGAACTATACATTTCTCAAACTTGAGAGAAATGAAGCAATGAAGAAAGAATTCTCGAGCAGCAGCTTGCAGCAGCCAGCCTAGACTCCATAAGATCTGTTCAGCCAAGCCAAAGCTTAGGCACGGGCACCTCTCTGGAAATGATTTACATAGCATGCATATCTAGAGAGCAGTGTCTTCAACAGTTTGAATTTATTTGCTCCCATGTATGTTATTTACATTTCTGAGGTGCTGAAGTTTGCCTCTGAAATTAGGCCTCACGTTTCCTTGTCAGTTCCCGTGGAATTTCCTTCGCCTTAGCAGTGCAAAACCAGCTCTTTCTTACCTTCGGATCTCAGATTAATGTAACCTGCCTGAGATGCCTTGCTTCATTACTTCCAGTGAAGCAATTCCCAGGATTTTCTTCTATTGCCCATTTTCTCTTGCCTTATAACAGTTGTCATGATGTACATTTTATTTTATTTTTTTCTATTGGTACGTGTTTTTAATCAGCATGTGCAGTTTGCAGTCCTGTTGGGCGGTGGGGCCTGGGTCCATGGTGCGGCTTGGTGTACCCTATTCTTGCCATCACCCTCCTTCTTTAATTTCCCTTTCCCCAGCTTCTTTAATTTCCCTTACCCAAGCTTCTTTAATTTCCCTCACCCTAGCTTCTTTAATTTCCCTTACCCCAGCTTCTTTGTTGATGTTGTTCGTTTCCCCTTCTGTTTACAGCATGAATCGCTTGCATCCCTGCAGGCGATTCGGGGCCTGTATGTGGCAGTTGTTTGTCCAGCTATGTGCCCTTCGCTTCCCTTTACCATTTGCCCTTGGTCTCTTGGACCCCTTTCCATTTGCACAAGATCCATTCCCATATCTCCTTTTATCCACCCATTTTATCAATGACTTTATAGGTTTAAAAAATATATTAGATACCAAATGCATGCAGTGATGCTGGATATATAAATAATGCTTAGCAAATGGTGGATAAATAGATGTATAAATGGTAATTACTTAAAATTCTGAAATCTCATAATTTATGCATATATCATATATTTCCTAAAATTTATTACATGCATTTCATAGACACCATTGCTTATTATTTTGCTTGTTGGTACTGTACATAAATATTATACAATATTAATTATTAATATAATATTATTATTATCATTCAGGACTTAAAAGGACAAGTTGTTCAATTTTGATTTACTGAGTTGATGATTTCTCAATTACTTTTAATTGCCATTATCCATAAGCAATCATAACTCAAATGTATTATGTTTTTGTCCTGCTCTGCTGTTTCTTTAAAAATACCCCATGTTCTCATTAACAGGACTGCACCCAAGACACAGTACACAGGATGTTCAGTTCATGAGAACAACAATGGCCAAGCAGCGTTTGAGAACCCCATGTACGACACCAGCGCCAAGTCAGTGGAAGGGAAGGCTGTGCGGTTCGACCCTAACCTGAACACGGTTTGCACAATGGTATAACGCGGCGACAGTTTGCCTTCATCAGTCTTGGAAACCGACACACAACACAGTGCACATTCAGTTCACTGCGAAACAAAGCACACTTTTCAGGACTTGCTGGGTCACCTTTTCCCGAGGAATGATAGAGAAGAGTGTTTTTTTTCATAAACTGGATCATAATTCTTCTTCATGTTTCCCATGGAGAGTTTTACAGAAATCCGGCTGCACTCTGAGAGTGCTACTCACAGTTTATTTGCTTTTTTAAAAAAGGAGATTATTCTAAAACATAAACTTATTTGCATATATTGGAGGAGCATCCACTATCAATATTTCTGTGCTTTATAAACTATATTAGAGGGACTGGGTTAAAAAAAGATATAGGATAGGAAATAAGAGCTATACTTACAAGAATCAATAGATCACTGACTTCTCTTTCACTGTCACGAGCTACATCACACTCATCAGTCTGTATCTCATGTCACACAATTGGCTGTTCAGTCTTGTCAGTCACGGCACTGTTTTTCTTGTTTCCATGGGAATTTATGACTGAGTCTTGCCTTTAAATGTTTATGAGCTCATTTAAGCCACAGAAGAGATACGGTTGCCCACCCCACATTGGTTTTCTCGTTTTGGCTCTTCACATTGCTGTTTTTTTAGGCTGGTTGTTTCAGCTTCTGCAGGAGGCTGTGTCTTTATGCTTGCTTCCTGATTTTCCCATGACGGCCAGTGCAACCAGTTTTATTCAGTGAGTCACAGGGTAGTGTTTCATTCCTTGCTGCAATTTTTTTTTTTTCACTCACAGACTCTGTGGACTGGAAAAAAATCACTATAAAGATGGTATCTGTGATTATCTAAGACACCAAACTTATGACCATCCTTTACCAACTTTCCAATGCTTTTGAAAGACCAAATAAAATCTATTAATTCTATATTATATTTAATTTATGAAATCTTTCCAATGGAGCCTTCAAACTTAACACCTTTGACAAGTTTCAGCTTTCTTCTAATAATGTATTACAAATGTACTTTTTCTGGCTCCTTGACATGATGACTAAAACCAAAAAAGACCTACCTTGAAATCACCAGTATAAATTTATTACCTAAAGTTATGAATTAATCAATTTTCACATGCTGTGAAATTTCTGTAACGCGTATTCATGAAAAGCAGTTTACAAATTTCTTCAATCCTCAGAATTCGAAGTGTCTGTACGTTTCAAGTGGCTCATTGCAGCTGTGTCGCACAAGAACGCCAGCATTTTCATGCCATGGGCCACTGCGTCTCCTGTTTCTTTCATAGCATTTATCACTTTGTTGAGTAAAATTACTAGTGTGAAGTTTTTGTTGCTGTCCCTTTCAAACATGGATTGCTCTGTGAATGGTCCCAGCCTTTTCTACCATTCGACAGAGCGCTTAAGAGAAACCGCTGTACCTGGGAGCGCTGCTTGGATCTAGCTCTACATTTAGTGAATTTCTTGTAAACCACTTTGAGATACATTGTTTTGGAAATTCATACAATTTTCTCAACATTGTACTCTATGGACAGGATGCAGTTTTAAATCTTATGCCATCAGTTATTTATTCTTGTTTATTCCAATGACTGCAATAACAATGATTCATTCACTAATATTAAGGTTAATACATTTAAGATCTTGTTTAAACAATGTTTCTTCTGCAACTGGCTACTCCTCTTATATTAATGCATACACTTTTGTAAAGAAGTATATTTTTATGAGAAAAAAGACTTTGTAAAAGTATGATGTAAATTTTCAGTGCAATGTAAACAAAATAAAAATGGATAATTGCTTTTGTAAAATGTGTATTCTTTTCAAAATTATCTGCAGCTGTTCTGGTTAGTAAAAGGAATAAATAGCCCAGATTTATTATTTTGTGTTACTTTCTCAAAGTGCATAGCACAAATACTTCATTAGTAACCTAACAATAAAATACAACTGTTTTCCTGTTTTATATTCCATAGTTGCTCAAATGTGACACTCGAGTAAAAGTATTACTGCTCCTTCCAGAGCAGGTCCACTGCTGGCGATGTGCAGATACCAACGAGCGCCCTTGTCTTTCACCAAATTAAAAAGTTATATTGAGGGCTAACCACAGGGATACAGAATTTTGCTCAAATCTGTCTCTGCATGTGTAGTGAAGGAATTGTGGAGGGAGAGAGAGGGAGAAGTTGCTTATTTGATGGCAGTAAGAGGAGGTTTTAGTGTTCCTTTGTGAGGCTGACCATGGTCACCATGACTCTTCTAGATCACAGCTTCATTTTCTGGAGTGAGGTGAGACATTCTGAGGTCAGAAGGGTGTAGGCCACAGCCAGTCTGAGTTAGTGTCTAGAAAGTTCCAGGGGTGTTTCCTAAAACAACCTGGAAAAGCTTTGTTATTTTGTTAATTTGTGGTTTGTTTCTAGCTGTTTCAAATACTTTAAGACCATGATATTAGAAGTTTTATAAGGGCTGGTGAGATAGCTCAGCAGACTAAGCTCCGGCTTAAGCACAGCATGCCACACAGGCCCCAACTCGAGCTGGCCTCCAAGACCAACCGTGGTGGCACACCCTTATAATCTCACTGCTGGGGAGGCTGAAAACAGGAGGATTGCTAGGAGTTCAAGCTACATACAAAAAATACATTAAAAAAAAGAAGAAGCACAAGTTTCCTGAAATATAACTCTTTCACAAATAGAATGCAGACTTAAAGGCACCAATAATTTCTAATATTTCTATAACACAGTTTCATAAAATATTTAGTGTTTTACAAATACAACTCAGTAATAGCTATATTAAACTTACATTCTTTTGTGAGGTATGGTATGATTTGGTGTAAAAATGTTATAAACACACAATGGACTACTCTTTGGTCATAAAATGGTTAAACTAATATTCAAACAAAGCAAATTGACATTTACCAAGTC